GAGTGGTGACAGCTACTACTACTCTCTGACCTTCTCCTGGAAGTTGAAGACTGTCTCAGCCAGCCTCTGAACATAGGGATCCAGCTTGTAGGACTCCCAGACCAGAGTGATGCCTTCAGTGACGAGAGCTTGAACCTCTTTCTTGAGCCCAGCCACCAGCAGCGAGATGGAGGACCTCTCTTCTACTTTCTCACATGTACGCTCATAGGTGCGCACACTCTCGATCAAAGAGATAGCAAACGGGTACAGCTGATTGGCTTGGTGGGCTTTGTTGACAATGGCCAATGGAACACGGAAGCTCAGCCACTTGAGGTTGCGGACCTCTTTAGACAAGGTGATGATCTCTGGGAGGAAGTTGACTTTAAGCTTGAGCATGTTTCCTGTCCTTCCACGGGCACGAGTACTCTCAATGGTGAAGATCCGTCCAGACACACCAAGGTTACGCTGCTGCACCTGATTTACAAAGAAAGGCAAATGTTGAGAAATAGTAATTTACAACAAAAAACCCCAAACAAACGTTCAGTAAAAATTACACTCGTCAATACCTTGCGAGCCCAGTCATCAAAAATCTCTTGAGTATTGAGTTTAGCCCTGAAGCTATCTCCATCCTGCTTCAGCTTCAGCCCCTCCACATGGTTCTCCCAGCCTTTTCCCAGAACATCCTCCACCCTCTTCATATACGCAGTCAGCTGACGGTCTATCTGCTTGGCCCATATGATGGAACCAGACACAGGTGGCAGGTCGCGGACATGGCTCATCTTACAGGCCTGGCTTTGAGGATACTGCACTTTGAACTTGTCGTGCAGTGACTCAATGTCATCTTTCACGCGCTGGATGAGCTGTGTCTGATACTCCCTGATGGCACCACGGATGTGGGGGCGCACGAAGAGAGCATTGAAGCGGGAGAAGATGCGGAACATCTCATTGGCATTCTTGGCGGTTCCCAGCTGATCACGGAGGCGAGCAGTAATACGGGTCTCCACGCGATCAATGCGTTCATCATAGCGCTTCATGGCGGCTTCCCAGGCTTCCATGCCTTCCTTGGACACATCCAGGCCATCGACCTCTTTGACATTTTCATATGCCAGGTTGACCTCCTCAATAGCATTGGCATCAGCAGCATCAAAGAGGACTCCCGCTACCTTCATGTCCTGAGGCTCAACTGTCTCTCCAGGGGCGTGCTGTGGTACTGCAGATACCTGGAGACAAAAAGTGAATTTTTGAAACAAGTGGCAGCAAAACCAAAAATCTAATTCTTCTGAAAGGAATCACCAGAAAAAAACAGAAGAATTGTAGAATAAGTAAGTAAATAATAGCTAGACATGCTGTCAAATGTAACTATTACAAATGCTGAAGGCACTTTACCTGAGGCCTCAGCACACGGACGATGACAGCCCTCAGCTGCTCATGCTGCCTTCTGAAACGCCTCATGTGGTCCAGACGAGACTGGAGCTTCCTGTGGGCAGGGCTCAGACGCCACACCATCTTCAGGTTCTCCTCTCTCTTTCTCTTCACAATGTCTCTCAGAAGCACCTGCAGTTTCTCATACTCATCCTCCCAGGTCTGGAACACTTCGAAGCAAGCCACCATCACCTGCACACAGAAGATTAATGAAAATTTAGGAACACATGATGTTCTGTGAAGCTAAAGTAAGTGCACACCTCAGAGGCAAAAATTCCAACAGGCTTTAGTTTATACTAGAGAACCTATGACACTAACCTTTTCAAATTCCTCATAGGCAACGTGCATGAGCTTCCTGGTACCCAACACCTTGAGGAGCTGGGAGCTCAAGTCTCTGGAGATGGCCTCTACCAGACGGAGTGCTCTCTGGATGGGATACTTGGTATTCCTAATCTTTTTCAGGTGAGTAAATATGGCCATCAGGGCTTGGCGGATCTTATCAAGCTCAGAGGCAGAAAGCAGGTCATTGAGAGGGAAGTCTTTCATCAAAGGATTGTAGTCATTGACCGTTTCCACTGCCTGTTTCAGACCTGCAAGAATTAGAGGAAGAACCAACTTTTAAACACATTTCAGTACTTTAATGAAACTATTGTCAATTCAAACAGTAAAAATAGTTTAGTTCTGACAGGTTTTCACTCACCAGTGTCTGTGTCAAAGCTGACAGTAGCATGGAAACGTTTGCCATGTTTGAGGATGTCCAGTGTGAGCAGAACCTCGGGGCTCTCTCTCTTCTCTTGGATCCTGTTGAGGGCTCGCTCCAGATTCAACCAGAAACTGATCTCCTGCAGAGCTGTCCCCGAGGCTGGGTCACGATCCAGCTTTGTCACCTGGGTGGGAAAGTGACAGAAATAATAAACCCAGTGCCACTGATGAGACAGAAAAGATTTTTTCCATAGGCTGCATTTTGTCATTGCTGTACTTTCTGTCTAAATCGAAAACAGATGTGTCACTTACTTTCTGGATCTCCCTGATCCAGCGGTTAACACCAGACTGCAGTTGGTTGAGGAAGGTTGGGTCCTCCACTTTGTCGCCAAAGTCAGTCACCTTGGGCTTCTCTCCACGCTCATTCAACTGCTTGGCAATGTTTGAAATGATGGGGTGGATGAGCAGGCTGATCTCAGGAATCTCAATGTTCTGCTGCAGGTGGAGAAGGCCCATCTCCAGCTCAGCAATCTTTTTCTCAACAGAGGGAGCCATTTTATCCCCATCTCTAGAAGGTCATGACAGAGCATGTTTTAGAACAGATTTAGAACCGACACATTTTTCTTCCATTACATTTACTGTTCAGCACCAAGTCTATGACCCAGCTTATTAATTATGAGGTTTTGAAAAATAAGATGTATAAGAAGATTACCTATCTGCCTTGCCAGACTCGCGGATGTAGGACTTGAAAAAGGGAGCCACAGCATTGCTGATGAAAGAGTGGAGCGTCTCGTAGGGAGAATCCTCACTCAGTGTCAGCACTCGGACTTGGGTTGATATGGGCTTGTCTGCATCAATGACACCTGTCCTCTTGATTAAAGCCAAGCTGAATGGGAGAAAATGTTAAATAGAAGTTACTAAACTATCTTTAAAAATTCAGATTCTGCCAATAGTAGGAGGTATTTTCTTCAGGTTCTCTCATAAAATCAAATTCTACTAAGCAGCTGAAAAGGAGACCTCTATTTGGGGCATCTGATGCATTATTTACCTGTTGGACTTGATCCCATAGTGTATGTCAATGCTGATGTTATAAGTGATGCACTCCTTCTCCTCTTCTCCCTCATCTCCAACATCCTCTGTGTGAAGAACAAGTAAACAGACCATCCTTTGATGAGTGTACAGCTTTGGCATACTTGTTAAAATTCACCCCAAAGAAGTAAAAAGTGGCAAATCACTACCTTGTCAATGTCCACGCAATCATAATACAATAGCAAATTTCTGGCTTATGTACATCATGCAAAGTTTAGATGTGCACCATATGGCAGCTTGTGTAATTGTTTTTTCACAATGTCTTAATATTATCTAGAAAGTTGCACTACGTAGTAAGGGTTAAATGCTCATGGCTAATAAAGTCAGACTGCTGCTAAAGACAAAAATAAATTATTTGGATGAAAGACAAGACTGAGTATATTTGTGGATACTGGACCAACAGGATGACGGAGGTTGTGGCTTGTTGGAATAAGACATCCATCTGCAGACACGGCACTCTGCATTGCAGCATCAGTATACTTAGCACAAAACCATGAACAGGCTGGAGAAGTGGCTCTCAGGCTGGGAAACAGAAACCTACAGGCTGAGGGGCTGGTCATGTGCAGTATCAAGGGATCATGATTCAGCACTCATAAAAAAGGCATGAAGCTCAGAAGCTGAGGCTTGATTTTCCAGGAGGAAACTTAACATAATGTGTTCATTGACACAAGCTGGTTCACATGATAAAAGCCCTGGAGACTGCAAACAATCTGACTTGCAGATATGACAAAGGTTTCATTCTCATGCATGAAGTACTGTTGCTGTAATGTGCCTTATAAATAAAGTGCACCTAAACAGAAATGCAAAGGATTTATATAAAGTAAGCGCATCAATATTTCAGAATAACTGCGGCCAGATAGTTACTGTACACTGAAGTGCATCGTGTTGTGGTTAGTTTTGTTTTCTCCTCCCCACCCAGTGTGGCGCAGGTTAGTTACAGTTAAATGGAAGGACATAGCTAGCTCTGTTAATGCTGTTAACTAGCTGGACATTAACTTAACTAACACTAGGTTAAAAGCCATTTCGCTGGTGGTGAATTTAGAGGCTAATTTGCAGAGACGTTGCGTTCATTTTAATGTAACCGGGTGTGACGTGTTCATATAACATTGCATTGTTTTCTACATGTACCTTTGAGAGCATTTCTCTCGACCAGGATGGTGTGAACTTGAGGATCGGCCAGGAATTTCCTCATCTGTTCCACGGCGCTCTTCTCCTCCAGGGCGGTTTCCAGTGAAGCCGGGGCCTCGCCGCCATCTTCCAAGAGCAACGGTACCAGCTTCCGAACGTGCTTCTGCAGCACGGAGGTGTCGGCGACCGTCTGAACGGCCGACACCTCCATGGTGCCAGAGTTCTCCTCCGTCCCCCCGCCGTCAGACATGCTTGGAAGCGGTCAACGGCGACGAGTTGCGGAGTAAAATGTGAACAAAGAAACGAGGTTGACGTTACACAGCTGACTGCAGCTACCGACAGGGATGGTCAGACACCGACTGCCGCTGTCAAAACGCTGCAATCGTGACGATAACCTTTAGTCGCGCAAAGCACTGTGGTAGTTGTTGTTCCATGGATGAGTATTTCACGGGACTGTAGCACTTAAAGACTACAATACCCACAATGCAGTTGAATGAATCACATTTTTTCTGTCGTTATGTTTGTACCATTTATGACAGATAGGTGGCGAGAGGGAGTAGTCTCCAATGATGCAGCAATATAAAGTAAGAAAAACGTATTATTACTATTACTAATACGATGATCATATACTGCTTAAAAATCCTAATATGTAATAAAACAATAACTAGTAAACAACTTGAAACTATTTGACGGGCTTTATTATCATAAATGCACTTTTTGCACAGTCATGGCAATAAAAATGAATGCAATGCATGCATTAGTTCAATTTTTCAGAATCAATATTAATTTCTAGATCATCACCATCATGAATAATAGTGTACATTGATGTTCGACTTGAGTCACCTAAGAAAGAACTCCCTTCAAAGCTTACAAATTGGATGTACTGCACTAAATAGAGTTTTTGGGAGGGTCCAATCTTAACATGCTATCCTAGATCTGAAAAGTTTAAATTACAACATTTGAATTTAATAGCGAGAAGTAGAAAAACAGGGGACGACGACTCAGTAGTAGCAGAAAGCTCACCTTACTGCTGAAACCCACAAACAGTGAAAAAATAAGTGAAAAATAGCAAGATGCTGTTGACCATGTAAATGTCCTAATAAGACAAGAAGGGAGGTGCCTTGGTGATTTTGGTGTTTATTAAAAATCCATCAGCATATAGTAAAACCTCAGTTCCAAAGAATAACAAAAGATAAAACAATTATAAGCATGAAAACAGCCCAAGATGGAGAGCCTATGCACCGTATCCCTGAGCAATACGGTCACAATTTTTACCGTCATTTGCAAACTTTGTTCCACATCCAACACACATCCAATGTAATTTCTTGTAATAATAAATGGCTTTTTAAATAATTTATGGCTTTAAAATTATTACTGAACTAACCTGAGAATGCACCTGTTTTGTTTTTTTTTTCTTTTTTATGATAAAGAAGCACAGGTTTAAGAAAAACAGAAATAAGAGAGTTCTGCTGGCAGCATACGTTAGACAACATGACTAACAGTGTTCTTGCACTTGCAAAAGAAATTTCGGAAATGTGCCAGCTGACATATACATGTACCAAACTGGAAATAATGCCTTAGTTTTCACAAAGTCGTTTCCTATTTTGCAGATTAACAGGAAACTCAAGCATCAAGTCCTGCATAACAAAGTGACATTAGGCATCCTCTGCACCTTAACACACGACCTTCAAGTCCAGAGCAGAATAACATTTCAGTTTATAAGTGGATTCCAGCCTTTGGTATGAGAACTAAACAATGCCTTCATCATCCCTTTGAGTAGAAACAAACATTCATTGACAGGACTGATAAAACCTCAGTCAGCTACAGTCGATCAGATGCTCAATCCTCCTCAGGGAACTTGAATTTAGCGTAGACAATGAGCATGACGATAGACATGACGACACACAATGAACCAATCACGAGATAGGCAATGCCCAGGAACTCATTCTTTCCACCCATCCAGGACACGTTGCTGAACACCACCTTCTTCTCGCCATCAAAGCTCAGAACAGGGTAGTCTGGAAGACAAGTGTTAAGGATACACACCAAGAATATATACAAAGAATTATACAAAACACAGACTTAAAAACACTGATTTCGTGGTAATACTTTCCCTGAAGTATTAAATACATTAAAGCATTTTAGGGGGATACCACTGTTTTTCATTTTTGGCTTATTTACTACAAAAGGATGACATTTGACATTACAGCTATGTTTTAAAACTTTTAAGCCAATTTTTAAGGCACTTACTGGCTTACATTTCAGTACAATATGACAATGAGCACACTTGAGTTGTATTAAAGTCTGCAACTATCTCACTTGCATTGGAAATGATCAGCAAGCACATAGAAACAATATATAGTTAAAGATTTTGACCTCAGGAGCACATTAATAAGGTCCTTTACGTAAAATGAAAATATTTAGTTGAGCACTTTACATATTGTAGCTCCTGCCTGGGTAGGTGACAGTCAATCAAATATTTATTTGCCTACCTTGTTTACCTATCCCAGAATATTTGCCTGTTTTTTACCACCTCAAGGAACTCCTTAGTCATTGTGTTCATTCAGCCCAGTTTAAAACACAACCACACCCGACCGGTAAAACAAGTTTAGACGACACTGCTGTTGTTGTAGAATGAAACACGAAACTGTTTCAAAGCCCAACCCCTTCTGCTGTATTTGATACTTTAAAAGCTTGCTACACAGAATAATAGTGTAAAACATATGCTATTTAACATTCGTTCAATATCATCTTAGGATAAAGCATATCTTTTACATACACTACCTGCTGTTCTAAACAAATAAAAAACAGCCATTGACAAGCATCGTGACTACTTGTGTGGATTTTCTCTGTTAATAAATCAGATTTCATTTTCAATGAGACTATTTCAATGGTCTATATCTGTAGTATTTGTGATGATTGATTAAAAAAATAAAAAATATACAAATTAGTGCTTACTTCCACCCCTACGGTGGCTTTTATCCATGATCTGATTAAAGGTCTTTAATAATTGGTCACTTGTCTCATTACAGATTGACTTTGACTTTTGGTGGGTCTACTGAAATAAAGTTAAAAATCTATGCTACCATCTATAAGAACAGGACAAATATGTGCAGCATTTTGAGAAACACTAAGCTGTATGAAAAATGCTACACGAAAACCAGTTGATTGGAACATAACCACCCATACCTCTAAGCCCCGGCCTTAAAATCATCTCAGAATCTGTGTATAAGGATACTGTAGGCAATTTCGAGAGAGTAGTTTCCAGCTGGGAGACCCTCTGCAAAATCCCCCTCTGTGATTCGTCGATACAGCTTTCTGAAATTTGGCAGGGCTGCCCTCCTCATCCACACCAGGAAGTCTTGGTTGATGAAGCCATTGTTAGCAGGGTCTGTGGGGTCCAGCTCGTAAGCAGGCCTTGACCAAAATACGGGTTTCACAGTACCTGCAAGTCAAAGTAGTCCACTATTTACTGTACTAACCAAGGTACTTGCTTAATACTTTATTTTAATCACTTCGCTAATGTCTTGTGAAGATAGGAGGTCCCTCATTACATACAATTTATCTCTACCACATGATTACTTCAAAAAAAGGAAACAGGTTCTGGTAAATCAAACTAAAGTTGCTACCATTGAAGGCATTCCTGAGGGGTGTGACGTTGGGGTTTCTGTATTTGACGTTGTAGTCTGTCCACCAAGCAATTCCTTTTCCATCAAGGGGGACCTGCTTCCTTGCCCCATTGACGATCTGAAACAGCTTGAAAGTATCTGTAGAAAACAAAGAGAGTTGGCAAGGCGGCAAAAGAACATTACAATTACTTTAAATGTCATACATACCATTGAACATGCTGTTTGCGACTGATCCACACGGCACAATTGGTTTGTTGTTGTCGTACACATAGGGAGCGCAATCATCACTGGGATTCTTCAAGAGGTACAGGAAACAGACTTGTCATTGTTAAGATAAATAATCTGTGTTTTATATATATTATTGAATACAGATGGGCAGTGGTACCACCAATGCAGCTTTAGGAACTGCACATTTTCACAAAACTGCACTCTGATAAAAATATGAACTGCGCCCAAATGTTTGACCCAACTGACAACTTAGCATATTTGTACTCAACTTAGCTCACCTTTAAAGCTTTTCTCGTTTCAGTTGAGAACATAAGGATTTCATTTTTCCTTTGGAAATGAAAACCAGAGTGTGTGCATATGTTACCATGCGTTGTTCACTCACCGTAAAGTACTCCAGGTCTCCAGACAGCTGGTTAGCATCTTTGGACACCCCGTACCTTCTGTAGTTCTGGAAGTAGTTCGTCAAGCCATAATAAAAGAACACAGGCCCCTGAGGTGGAGGAAAGCAGAATCACACAAAAAAACATTCATGGGTCAGAACAAGAGCACAGTTCAACCTGACTAACTATACGTGTTTGTATTGTGAACATTTGTCCATTGCAACCTGAAATAGACTGTCAATGGAGAATTCCATGGTGCACATGCAGTTCTTGGCATTTGGGTCAGAGCACTTGAAGCATGGTGAATCTTGTGCAACCCCGGTGTAGTCTATCTGTGAAGGAAGGAACAAGAAGGTTATTATGAATTATTGATGACTACAACACCTATCACTATTGTCTGCTACAAGTCTGTAAGCAGAGCCTGTCGCAGTTCATCATATATGTGCTAGTCCACAGGATTCTCTTTTTCAGCTCATAGATTGTTTTGACATTTGCTTAACGTGTGTCTTCTGATCCTCCTCTCTTTTTGCTGCTGACATTTGATCCCTCATTCTCAGCATGATGACAGGCCTGAGGTATGTCTTTCAGTCTTACCTCCAATACCTGGATGCTCCGTGAAGTGACAAACAGGGCGACACCAATGCCGATGAATGCCAGACCAATGAGGACAAACCCTGGGATGATAATGCCAGCTGAGAGCATAGGCTGCCATGCAGGAAGCCTCTGCTGAGTGAAGGCGGTGTTGTCGGGCCGGTTGTCTAACTCCTGCTCTTGTTTCACCATTTTTTTTCTTTCTGTTGGAGTGAATATTTATTAGCTTGTAAGCTTGTACTTGTGTGTTCTATCATAACTATGGCAAACATATGAACCCTCCCTAATGTAATCTAGCTTTCCCATTTCTTTCTCCAAACTAAAAAAAATCCCCATTTATTTTATTTAAGTGTTTTTCTCTCACTTTTTACTTCATGTAGAGAATCTGATACAGCTAAAACAACGACTCACTTGACTCACACTCCACTCATTTCACCCCAAGAGGCTTTACATTATACAGAAAATCTTGAAAGAGATCTCCCAGCAACACCCATATTAGTTCGGAGTACTACACAGGCAAGAGAACCGACTTTTACCTCACTTTAAACCGATTTGTTGAGAGAAATGGTTCATCTAAGGCATATATTCATAGTTTATACCTAAATAGTGAGTGTTACTTACGCGCAGATGGCTCAAAATGGAGAAACAATGGAGTCAACAAAACATCGGTATGCTTCCCTGAGTTGTAGGCGCGACAGAGCAGCTCACCTTTACCTGCCTACCAACCCTCCCAGCCCATCCTCTTCCTCCTCCGGCCTGACGTCTCTTCTCTAGAAACTGTAAACAGCGCGAATTGAGGCACAAACACCGAGACCGGCAATAAAATATTAACCCTATTTTAGTTTATCTTTTTTTTTAAACTTTTTTTTTTTTTTTTTTACGTTTATACCCCCAAACAATGCACACATGTATTGTGCATAACAAAAGTTACGAAATCGAGCCATTGCGGTAGTTTTAAGCGTAAATCACCGCCTTCTTCTTGATTGACAGTTATTTCCACCAATCATTTCACTGAGTAGTCAGGCAGAACGTTTTCCGCTAACCAATCAGAGAAGCGCTCTTTGAAAGAAGACCTGCTTCGGTGCCGTCTTTGTGTTGACATCTACGGGGGATTGAGAGGTATCATTCATATTTTTTATATTTAACGTTAGCTTTTATTTCCTAAAACAACGCCCCCTGATGTTTGGAAGTTTATTTATGATTTCGATCTGAGTCTGTCAGTACAGAAGCTTTTGGAAGCAAAGCCGACGCACCTGCTACTGTGCCACTGCTAGCCAGATCTCATTGTTAGCGTTAGCTAACGTAGCATGGTCTCTCAACATCAATTTGAAAGAAATACTCGTAAAAGCGATGCAATTTTGTTGTTACGCCACAGCGTGTGTTGTTATGGTATAAAACGATCATGATATTAAACTCGTGTTTAACTCTATGTAGAACAAAGCTGCCGTTTCATTACGCAAGCTACCATTCAGGCTGCTAGCTTTGCCGTTAACTTGCTAGCTAACGTTAGTCCATTTGGCCAAAATGGCAAAACAGATGGATTCGCCACAACAAAGGTTTGTGAATAGCAGCGATCTGGTTTCAAATGAATTAATCAAACACCAGGGTGCAAACGACAAAAGTTCAGCCTGAGTAGATCATCTCACTTGTTTACTCATTTAAAGAATTTGCGATTACGTGAGTAACAGTGAAGCACATTTTAGCTGGTTATCCTGTGCAGATCGGTGGATGTTTGTGACTTGGCTGAGTTGAAGTTGAAGTTAAGTTTCATTCAGTGTCATGTAAAAGGCCAGCATTTTTGTTCACTAGGTCCTGTTCGTAACCATTTTTCTGGTTCTGTCTTCATTTCTTAGTGTTTGAATGGATATTACCAGGTGCACGGAGAAATGGGTAAAACAAGACAAGGTTACTGTACCTTGGAGCCCTCATTTCATAAAACCATGACATTCATGCACAGTTAACATTGTTTGAACCATTCAGTGATGTTTTTGGGTGATATAATTCTCTAAGCCAGGCAGCATTTGTAACTGTGTAGCTGATTATTTATTTATTTTCAAAAAAGATTTTAGTTTGTTAACCAAATCACCTGTAAGTGAATAAAATACCAGTTTAGCATGACTTTGTAGTGTTTACATTATAGACAAGAAATGAATACACCCCTGTGCAAAATCACTTAAATATCAAATGATTTCAAATTGTATAGACACTCAGTAATTGCCTCATTTCTGACAGTAGAGTTTTTCCGCTTCTGAACAAATTGAAGACAACTAGTTAAAAAGGATATGATATAAATACAGGCTGCAAATTAGAAAGTCAGTGCAACCAAAGTGAATATACCTGTGATCACTGACACACAAGTTCGAAAAACCTGTGATTACTGAAACAAAATTGAGTACAGCTGCGCTGTCCAATTAGCTTAATTGCATTAACATGGTTATAAAATGACCAGCAAACACCAGACCTTTGTTAGTTTTGGACCTATGGACTGCTTCGATCTGCATGTCTACATCATGGCTCCACATGGAAAAGAATTGCCACAGGAATGTAAAAATCTGATTGTGAGACTGCACAGAGATGGAAAAGGATACAAGAAGATCGGTGACCAACTAAAAATCAGTCGAAATACAGTTGCAGCAGTAATCAGGAGGTACAGAATGAATCATAGTACCACTAATCAGAGCCGCAGTGGTCGTCCTAAGACGATGCCACTGGCGATGCGCTACTTGCACAGTCTAACTCTGAAAAACGGACAGGTAAGTGCTTTCAACTTGGCATTGGGTCATCAATAAACAAATTTGTTTCTGTAACAGTGTGGCGGACAGTGTGTAATGCTAACCTCTCTGAGCGGCATCCATGAGAAAAACCCCTTGCTTGCTCTTCAGCACATAACTGCGAGATTAAACTTTGCTAAAGAAAAGAAAAGAAGCTTGATTAATATTAGCGGCTTATTCTTTGGTTAGATGAGACAAAGATACATTTGATCAGCTGAGCTGGGGTAGTGTATGTTTGGTGTGAGCTTGGCCGGGAATGCCACTGTGAATGCATTCTTTATCTGCAAAAACTTTGCAGATAGAGAAGATTCCAGCATTATACCAATCCAGGGTACAGGGCCAAAATCACAAAAGTTTCTAAAGAATAGAAGAAATGAAAACTATGACCTGGCCAAGTATGTTGCCTGACTTAAATGCAATAGGAACGTTTAAAGTAGTGTAACACAAACCCTCTAGCAAATAACAACTGAAAAATTAGTCTCTGAAGAAAGGCAAAACATCTCCTCAGAAATGTGTGCAACTGTGGTGTCCTCCATGCCACAGAGGGTTGATCTGTGTGTCGTCGTTGCCCCCCCCCTCCAAAAAAACAAAAAACAAAAAAAAAAAGTTTTGAACCTCAGTAAACTACTACTTACTTTTGTTGCACTGAGTTCCAACTGTGGGGCTTATATTTCTAATATTGTAAATAAGGACTCTTAATTTTAAATTTTTCACAAGAGAAAATACCCTGCTGTTCAACTTAGAAGTAATGCAATTACTTTAAGGTTATACAATTTTGAATTATTTGACATTTAAATGATATTGCACAGGGATGTCCTCACTTCTTCTGTACACTGTATTTGTTACCTGTGGTAAATGATAATATTCATATATATTTTTGTGGTCAATAGGGAATGCAACAACATGCTGTACAAAATACACACACATTAGTTTCTTTTCAGGCACTCACAACCCACACGTCATCATTTTCATCTAATAATTTGTGATATTTTCTCATTGGTTATACTATTTAGAACATTCGAATTTCAACCATTTCACAAAAAAAATTCTTGCACCTTCAGATGTTGTGTGTTTCATCATTAAGGATTCCTGTTCCATGTTTGTTCAGGAGAGGCCTCCGACATCCTCCATAATGCTGTCGAGCAAGAAGTCCGACGCTGGGTCCTCCTCCTCCTCCTCTTCATCGACTGTTGGAGCAGCAGGAGGTGATAGGGCCCCGGTTTCTGATGCCCAGACTGGTCCTTCAGCTTCAGCTGCTGGACCTGTGGATTCAAAGAAGAAGGAGAGGTCGTCCCCTAGTGGGGAACCCGGAGGAGCTCCTTTGCCCCACCAGTCAGGCCCTGGGGGGGCAGATGCGGACTCAGCTGAAGTCCGCAGGACTAGTCGACGCAAGCGAGCAAAAGTAAACATTTTAGGTTTCTGCAGGGGTAGGAGGAAGAAGACATGAGCTAAATCTGGCAGGGGCAGAATTCCCTAAATTCTTTGTGCTTGGTTGCTTAAAGGATGAATAATCTTTTAAGTTCAAGGTGCAGTGTGACTCTTGAGTCACAAATCATCCTTTTCATCCGTACCTCACTGGAACTGGAAACAACCGTTATTTCGTTTGCAGTGTGATATTATTGATGTTTCTCCTGAAAGGGTTTCAGTATTTCTAAGAGGACTGGTGGTAAACGAACCAGTCGGGAGTGCGAATGCGGGTTTTAATGATGCTTTTATTGTGCCTACTGTTGCAGGTGGAGTACCGCGAGATGGACGAAAGCCTGGCCAATCTATCGGAGGACGAGTACTACTCGGAGGAGGAGAGGAACGCCAAGGCAGAGAAAGAAAGGAAGCAGGTCATCCCTCCTCCAGCTCCGCCACCGGAGGAGGAGAATGACAGTGAACCTGAGGAACCGTCTGGTTAGTCTGACATTTGGTGCAGCATGTCAAAACAGCAAAATGAAACACAGGCTGTTGCTGAGGAAATAAACTTTAAATTTGTGTATGAAAACATCAGTAAAAAAAATACATACATTCTTACAGACTGTGTGTTTGTACCATTTACCTTGTGTTCAATTGTGATTTAGAACTTGTTGGTGATTAATGCTTTTCCTTTTGGCATTAAATTAAGACTGAATGTCTAAACAACATTCAGTGCTAACAGAAGAGAAATACACTTTCACTTTTAGGTGTGGAAGGAGCTGCTTTCCAGAGCCGCCTTCCTCATGACCGTATGACATCCCAGGAGGCCGCCTGCTTCCCTGACATCATCAGTGGTCCCCAACAGACTCAGAAGGTCTTCCTGTACATCCGTAACCGTACGGTATGTGTCAGTGAAAAACACATTGCTGTGTGTTTTCTAGACAGAGGCTAACGGGTTGATTGTTTTTAATCATATGTATAACTGTAAGTCATTGTTTCTCTCATCTAGCTCCAACTGTGGCTGGACAACCCTAAAATCCAGCTGACCTTTGAGGCCACAGCACAGCAGCTTGAAGCTCCATACAACAGTAAGACATTAGATTAGCCAGTATTTCAATTCCTCTTTTCGTGAACGTACAAAAACTCAGATGTAACACTCTTTTGTTCTCTTTTTAGGTGATGCGGTGCTCGTCCACAGGATACACAGCTATTTAGAAAGGCACGGCCTAATTAACTTTGGCATTTACAAGAGGGTCAAGCCTTTACCCAGTGAGTTCATGTCAACACACTAAGTTGGAAAGCACAACACACTAGATTTTTTTTTCCACATAAAAAACTAAATCAGATTTACAAAAGTGGTTGTTTGACATTGTGATGTACTTGTGGTTGCAGCTTGAAGACATAAGCATTCAGATGCACTAGACTTGGAACGGTTAAAGGCGATGCATAATTAATTCACTTCCTGCTTGTTGTTGCAGCTAAGAAGACCGGGAAGGTTATAGTCATTGGTGGAGGTGTGTCTGGCCTCGCAGCGGCCAGACAGCTGCAGAGCTTTGGGATGGATGTTACAGTCCTGGAGGCCAGGGTAGGTCACCAACAGGGTTTCTAATAATTTATTTGTCAATTAGCTGTTAATACAAATGATTTTTGTGGTTGTAAATTGTTTACTGCAATTCTATACCTAATAGCATTGTTAGATTAGTGCCACTGTCTGTACACTTTCAATGATTGACAATAATATAACCTAAACTTCCCTTCTGTTTGGAAATGTTATAATTGCCACAGGTTTGGCATGGTGCTTTCAGATTTTTAAAGAATTTATATTTTCTTGCAGGACCGTGTTGGAGGCAGAGTGGCCACATTTAGAAAAGGCAACTACGTTGCAGATCTGGGAGCCATGGTAGTGACAGGACTGGGTAAGAAGCATAAGTAGTATAGCATTAGTATAACTAAGTCAAACCATCCTTAGTGTCCAATTGCATGGTATGGAGGTTTACGTGCTGTGGCATTGTCATACCACATGAATACTCAGCAGCTTAAGTTCAGGATGTAAACGACTAGTTGTGTCACATGTGCTTAAGACGTGCCCTTGCTTCTCAGAGACATGTGATTTGAGATCACTAGTCAAGCACAAGAGGATTTCCTTTTCTTTTTTTTTTTGTAATTCATAGATGTTCTACAGTTACTTAGATCACCCTCTAGAGGGTGACAATTGCCCATATATATGACATGTCACTTTTTTTTTTTAATGTTTGTGTGTCTGGTCAGGAGGAAATCCAATGGCTGTAATCAGTAAGCAGGTTAACATGGAGCTGGCCAAGATCAAACAGAAGTGTCCACTGTACGAAGCCAATGGCCAGGCTGTGAGTATAACGAATGATCCCAATCAGTAAACTAAGTTGACTCATGTTTGTTATCCTGATGCAGCCAGGACTCATAAGATAGCATGCTGGTAATTAAATATTTAGCAGAGTTGTAAAAAACATTTTATTTTCTGTTATTATGGACAACCCCACAGCTTTCATGAGAAATTATTATATTTCTGCAGAGTTTGTTGGATGTTAAGAGGCTAGTGGCACTAAAGGCGTGCATGTGATTTATTCTAGCTGAGTGATGCATGAAAAATATCTGCTTGCTTTAGTCACACTGACATTCTTACTGACACACCCATTGAACATTCCCAGTGCTGGTAGCAGAAGTATGTGAACCATCTGATTTAATAACGCGTCAAACCTCCATTAGGAGCAAGTGTTTCCCTTAGCTGCAGATCGACCAGCTCAATGCTCAGGAGGAATTTAGAATTGTGCATCTTCAGCTCATCCATATTCTAAGAATGTCCCCTGCTCTCTTGAGATCATTTCACATGTTCTATATCAGGTTATGTCTGGGCTCTAACTGGGCCACTCTGAAAGGTGGATTTGCTTTGTTTAAAGCCATTTTGGAGCATATTTACTTTTGATATAAAGGTTGTTTGTTGAGGTTTTTGCTCCATCACTCAACTTCTACCAAGCATCAACTAGTGAACAGCCACCTTGACATTATTCTGTATTAACTTAAAAACTCGTCAGTGAATTTTCACCTCAATGATGCCAAACTGTGCAAACACTAACTATTAAACAATATGTGAGACATGGTTTACATCTGTAGAAATGTCTTGTGAAAAGCAAGCTCAAGATGTTTGAGTGGGTTTTTTATAGGTTAAAGTAGGTCTAGCTTCCATCTTCTAACTCATTTTATGCCATTAGTCTCGTGGTTCAAACACTTTTTTCCATCACTGTAAATGTTTTGATTGAATGAGGGATATGTTCATTAACAACATATTGATTTCTGGTTTAGGATTGTTTGTAATAATTCAATGAGCGCTTGGAATTATTTGCATTTATGTATAAATGTGTCTTTAACAAATGGTAAAATACTTTACTTAATTTCTTCTCATCACAATAGATGTTTGTTTTTAAATTTCCCCTTTAAAAAGAAAAAAGAAAGAAACCTTGACCTCTTGTGGTTTACTTAGTTTACCAGAAGATGTTTGTGTGTGAACAAGAGCTCTCCATTGGCATTGAAGCGCTCTGCATCTGGGTTCATAGCTGTTCTTTTGGCCTGTTGTTGTCCTCAGGCAGGAATCTGGCTTTCCATGAGCCACAAAAACACAGTGAATGTTCGACTTTACTTAACTGCTTACCTTTGCGTGTCATTAACAACAGCTCCAGTTCCTCTCAGAACAGAAAACGGATGCAGCCTAATGTAATTAAATTGGGAATAAACAGAGGTTTTTTTCTCTTTCATTTTTGTTCTGTCCGTTAAGTGGCAGCAACACTAGTAGGATGTTTAGGTTCCTTTTCAGGTTACTTCCATTGAAGTGGAGACAAGCCAGCAGGGCTCTTGACTTATCCACATCATGTGTAACTGGTTACCTCCTCTGCAGGAAAAGGCAAATTAAATGTACATGTTTTACTTGTGTGGAAACCTGTTTGAGGTTAAACTTTTGTTTACTTAATTTGTTCTCTCTCTCTCCCTTCCCCTGTTGTCTTTTCAACCCCGTCCATGTTCATCTTTTGGTGAACTACTAAAGGGTGAACGGTGCACAAGTGTATGTATATATTTATTTCTATATTATATTTCCTACTTAATTTTCAACCACTTTTAAAATTTAAAACATTTCATCTCCATCCTTTTATGTCATGTAACTATTTCTCTCATCCATGTTGGAAATGACAAACTCATATTAAATCTTCATCTTCTAGAGAAAAAATAACAAAATTAACACTTTATTTAGTGTTTTTTGTTTTGTTTTTTTAATAATTAAAGGGAATGTCCACGTAGTTAATGTAAGTCTTAAAATGTTTGTTAGTTCTCTTTAGATTTGTAAAGAAGTACTTTGAGAAATTGCCGACAAGACTTTTTCACTATAAATTTGCTGGATTATAGTAGAGATTAATATTGCAGTTAAAGATGTTCACTGCTGGATTCAAATTGATTAAATGCTACAAGTGTGGATTTTCTCTTAGAAGACCCGACCTATGATTGGTGTGCAGCCTCTTCTACCCTGAAATCAGACTCAGGACCTGTATGTCCAGCTACCTGGGCTGCAGGTGGAAAGAGCAAGAGCTCTACACCAATCATAGATTGACTCTTAAAATGTCCCAGTAACTCTAAAACTCTTACTGCATGTTGATCGACGCATGAATCATTGCGAATAATAATATTTAAGAGTGTATATTGCGAGGAAATGGCTGCAATATTTATTTTTATTTTGTTTATATCAATTGTACAAGTAAGAAAGAAGAGAAAAGTATGGAGTTGGAGTTACAAGATGCTAAAAATATTCTGAATTTCATCAGGACTAAACATTGACAAAAAAGTAGTGCAATTCTACTTACTGATCCAGTAATACTTCATGTGAAAATTTCAGTTAGGTTTAGATGCTTTTCCTCCACTCTGCTGACTTTAACATGACTGTTGCTACATCGTCTTATCTCGTGTGGTTTTGCGTGGGCAGGTGCCAAAAGAAAAAGACGAGATGGTGGAGCAAGAGTTCAACCGACTGCTGGAGGCCACCTCTTACCTCAGCCACCAGCTGGACTTCAACTTTCTCAACAACAAACCTGTTTCTCTTGGACAGGCCCTGGAGGTGGTCATACAGTGAGTACAGTGAACGCGACATGAGGTCATGCACAGGAGGTGGCGGCTGATGCATCCTGTACATGTGGATCCAAACCGTACACTGATGCAAACACCGCACTAGTATCATCACTCATGTTGTATCTCTTGTGCTTGCAGGCTGCAGGAGAAGCATGTAAAAGATGAGCAGATAGAACACTGGAAGAAGATTGTGAAGACTCAGGAAGATCTCAGGGATCTTCTCAACAAGGTGAGCATGAGTAGCAGCCTTAGATGGCTTCCTATTAATGATCGCCACTTTTGAGTAGCTGTAAAATTCACCGGAGTACCACAGCTAAAATGTAACTTGCAAACAAAGTGGTAAGACAAAATGAGACCACTGATGACCATGCAGTATACAGGAAAGCTCAGTTTAGTTTTCTTAACAGACACTTGCAAGTTGCCTTCATGTAAAGCATTAAATCAAGTTAATCTTGAAAACAAATTAAATACTGGTGGAAAAAGTACATCTAGTCAGTCAAGTTAGATCAAGTTACAAGCGCCAACCTTTTACTGATTATAGTTCTCACATTATTCACTGTTAACATTCCACTTTGTTTTCTGTCATCCACAATCATCTCATGGGTTACTTGCTCTCTTAACCTCCCTCTCCTTTTTCCACCTACCTTTCAGATGGTGAGCACTAAGGAGCGTGTTAAGGAACTCCATCAGCAGTATAAAGAAGCAAGTGAAGTCAAGCCACCCAGAGATATTACAGCTGAGTTCCTGGTGAAGAGCAAGCATCGCGACCTCACCGCGCTCTGCAAAGTAAGATCACTACAGAACAAACTGAACACTGTTACAGAAGAAGATTACAATAAAATACATGACATGTCTTTACATTTCCTACACTCAAGCTGTAGGCACTTCTCTAAACTGGTTGTTGTCCAGAACAGATTCCTTTGTGACACTTTCATTACTTCCTCATATCTCTTGGACTAGGCAGAAACCAGACTTGAACTTAAATACTCAGAGCGGCTAAGTTGAAAAGATGTCAGTGTTGAACTATGCTTGTGGTGTTGCAGGTATTCCATAGTGTCTGTGTTTTCATTTGCTGTAGTTTAAACTAGCAGTGTCAGATTTCTTAGCTTGATTAGTAGGTGTATCCGTGGGTCAGGAGGTCAAAAACCACAATCTGTAGGAAGGAAACTTTGTCTTTGTTCTGAAGGGCAACATCAATCAAACAAAGATCAAACAAGTTATTTGTAACAGTATTATAATGCTAAAGCAGTGCTAGCATGTAAAGGGGATATTTTATGGATTAGTAGGTCAGGGTGGATGCCCCACAGAATTTTAATGCCGCGCTGTCTAAGTACACCAGACAGGCTGTGTTTAAGTGGTTTAATGCCTCGGTCGGATGTATTATTAGAGTGAGTGCTGCTGTTTTATTTTTGGTGCGGATAAATCACCTCCACTGCTGCTGTGTGTGTATTTTAGAAGGAGGTTTTAGTTGGTTTAAACACAGCTGGTATCTGAACTGGATTTGTCTGCGAACCATCCCCTGTCTGAGAAACCACTTCAAGGCTTTGAATCAGCGTCTGATGGTCTTTATGTCTGCATATGTA